TTTGCATGCTTGTGTGTGCCTGCTTTGGGGAAGGATGTCTGGTGTTATCATTTCTTTTCTCTGCCCCACAAAGCATAGTAGTTCAAACAAAATAAAACAAACAAACAAAAAGACTGGGGATGTAGGCTTGTAGTAGAGGAGATACTGCCCTGGCTCCCAGAATAAAGAAAAAAGGAAAAAAAGGACACTATTCTTGTGGGTATGGCAGAAACCTTGTGGTAGCCTTTCTCAGTGAGTACAGAGTACTGGAGCTATAGTTAGGAGTCCTGGCTTGATTGATGTAGGGCTAACCCTCCACTAGGATAGAGAGTAAGACAACATGCTGCTTTTGAGTCCTGCAAACCTAAACCCAGTGGTGTCCCTCTGTATATGTTTATTTATTGGTTAATGAATAAAACACTGTTGACCAACAAGGCAACAAGACAGGAGGGTCTAGGAGATGAGGAGAAGGCTGGGGAGTGTAGGTAGAAAGCACTTGAGATGTAGCATGCAAAGGAGTTGCAGGTCTGGCATTCTTTGGTAAGCCAAACCATGTGGAAATACATAGATTAGTAGTTATGGGTTAATAATTAACAGAGAGCTAGCCAATAAGAAGCCCTAGTCATTGGCCAACAGATTTATAACTAATATAATGCTTGTGTGTTCATTTGGGGCAAGGCAGCCATGGGGCTAGCCTGGCAGGAAGGACAATCCATAAGAAAATGGTGCCAGCAAAGTGGTTTGTAGGAAACGTCCAAGTAGAACCTCACAAAAACTTAAAAAGGGATTTTAAAGCCAGGCATTGGTGGCGCACGCCTTTAATTCCAGCACTCCGGAGGCAGAGGCAGGCAGATCTCTGTGATTTCCAGTCCAGCCTGGCCTCCAGAGGGAGTGCCAGGATAGGCTCCAAAGCTACACAGAGAAACCCTGTCTGGGGATGGGGGAGCAGGGAGAAGGGATTTTAAAAACAAAAGAACAGAGGCAAGCACAGCTTCCTGGTAGCAGCATTTTCTCAGGTGATCTCTGTTTCCCAGGCATTGAGAGGCTCATGTACAGCTGCTTTAAGAGCAGTTTCCTGACTCTGTATAAGCAACAAAAACCACCTCAATGCTCTTTTACCAAACAAGTGGTGTTAACGAGCAGATAAGACTCATGAGGGTTTTTGTTTGTTTGTTTTGTTTTTGGAGACAGGGATTCTCTTTGGCTTTGGAGGCTGTCCTGGAACTAGCTCTTGTAGACTCATGTGGTTGGAAAAAGGTAGAGATAGATGCACAGGAAAGACACATTCAGATGAAGTAAAACCTCTAAAGGATTTACAGTTTGTTTAAAAAACAAAACAAAACAAAACAAAAAAACATATGTAGGCTTGGGAGAGAAAAGAAAAAGGATAAAGTCTTTAAAAAAGAAATAGAATAGTTGGGTGTGGTGGCACTCGCCTTTAATCCCAGAACTCAGGAAGCATAAGCAAGCAAATCTCTGATTTCAAGGCCAGCCTCCTGTACAGAGTGAATTTCAGGACAGGCAAAAGTACACAGAGACACCCTGTCTCATAAAAGGAAAAGAAATAGAGTAATAATAAATAAATAAATAAATAAATAAATAAATAAATAAATAAGCCAGGTAAAGATGGAAAATACACAGAGTCTGGTTACTGTATGTTATTGTGTTATCTTTGAATTTTTTGATTGCTGAGGAAGGAGCAACAAACTGCTAAAAGATATTTGATTATAAATGCTGCTGGTTTAAACTAACTTATATATTTTGAAAATGTTTTAACTTCAAAATTTAAACCTAAGGACAGGTTACTTTGGAAAAGAAGTTTTGCTTGTGTTTCCACAGAAAATGAAAAGCTGTGGATTCCTTCCAGACTAATATGGTTTGATGAAGCAAGACCACCTGAAGCAGTGGCCCAAGTTATCCAACATCCAAAAACAGTTGACATGATGCAGCCTCACCGACCACTACAGCCAGGATTTGGTCAGGTTTCTGGGTCTTCTTAGGGGACGCATGCAGCACCCCCAAACAGCAGAAAGCAGTTTGGAGAGAACGACTCCCAAATTCCCAGATATTGTTTATAAGTGTTTGTTTTCATTTAAATGGGGTTGAGTATAAATGGTTAATGATCACAGCCAATCTCTTTGAAAGGAAAAAGGGGAATATGAGATAGAAATGAATACTTTGCATTGGTATGGATTTTGGCTTACTGATAGAAATTTAAGGTCAATTTTGTTATATGTGTATCTCTCCTCTTGTTTAGGTATTGTGTTTATAAAGATCTTTTAAAAATGTAATATATAATTAAATACAGATTATATATAGTCATCTATAATAGTCAAAACTTATAGTTATGTTAGTTAGGTTTTATAGATATACAAAGATATATTTGAGATGGATAGTCTTCAAACCTTTCAAAGACCTGCAAAATATGGCATTTAAAGTGGTTTAGAGTTTTTCATGACAGTGAGATACAACTGCTACTGGAAACATCAATTACTTCAGAGAGGAAGATGGGCATTGAAAAAACCTGTTAGGGAGTTTGCCTTTGACATGGCAAGACTAGCCATTTGGGCAAGAAACTGCTCTTGCCTGGACTCTTTGACTGTATGCCGTATAAACTGGACACACAGGACCCTCAGGAAAGTGACTATTGAAACAAGATGGGACAGTGTTCCTGCTTCATGGAACAGTCTGTCAGACATTCTGCAGGACACAGAGAAAAATGACTGACAAATTGTCAATACAGGTGGGACAGTTTGAAATTTTCTGCTTTGCAGAGAAGTCTGCCAGACACATAAGGCCTATGGTGCTCCAACATTACAGAGGAACTTTGGATGACTAACCAGGCAGCAAGATGTCTCTGTTAATTCTAGAGTTTATATATTATCCTTCTGAGGTCTTTGATGGAGTTGAAGATAGATAGTTACAGTTATAGTTTCATTAATTATGATAAAAGAGAAGTTACATATAAGACTTTAGACTCACAAAGATAGGATAGATGATAGAATATTTTCTTTAAATCTTGCTAAATGTTATGGACTAAATATTGTAACTATAGCTCTTACTTGATAACTATTTTGTTATATATAATTTGACTATGTTAAAGTTAAAACCTTTCTTTTTCTTTAGACAGAAAAGAGGAGATGATGGGAATTGTCTTTCTGTATATATGTTTCTCTCATTTGTTGATGAATAAAAGACTGTTGGCCAATAGGGCAGCAAGATAGGTGTGTCTAAGGGATGGGAGAATTCTGGGAAATGTAGGCAAAGTCAGTTGCCATGTTACTGGAGGAGAGAGTAAGAGGTTCTGACCCTTCTCTGGTAAGATTAAGACCACATGGAAATACAAAGATTAATAGAAATGGCTTAATAATTAAGACAGAGCTAGCCAATAAGAAGCCCTAGTCAATGGCAAACAGCTTTATAATTAATATAAGTCTTTATGTGTTCATTTGGGGCTCACATGGCTGTGGGACCGGGCTGGCGGGAAGAACCATGCATACCAACACACTTCCTCCAACAAGGCCACACCTCCTAAATCTTCCCAAATACTTCCACCAACTAGTGACCAAACAGTCAAGTATATGTATGAGTCTTTGGGTTTCATTCTCATTCAAACCACAATAGCTACCCTGGGGGTTTCTTCCCTTCACAACAGGGATATTAACCGACTAGAAGCAGGGTCAGTGTGGATTATTAGACACTCTCCTAGGTGCCACAGGAGGCAGAAAATCTCCAGGGTACAGAGAGGTGCTTTATGGTAGGGCCTGTTTGGAGTCAGGTCAAGCACCTGTGAGGCAAACATACTATCTGAATGTTACTCGAGAGATATGCTTGGATGAGCTGAGGTGCCATTTCATTGTCTCATCCTCCAGGACGCCTTCCCAGATTCCCCTGAATAGAACTCATTGCTCTAGATATGGAGCTACCATACCAAGGTATATTTAAGTACATATGAGCTCAGCTCCCAACACTGTGAACCCCCAGACAACATTCAGTGTCCTTGTCTCCTGCAGCCACAGGGGCCAGGATTGAAAGCTCTGAAGCTGCTAGGGTCAGGAGTCCACAGGTGACCTGGAGAATTTAGCCAGTTCTCAGAGACCTGTGGGTAAAGGTAGGGCAATGAAAAACCAGGCTTGTACAAGGCAGGCACTGAGATACCTTGGAGGGCTAACTGGTGAGGATGTGAACCCAGGGCCTCAAGAACATGGTTGGAAGGCATTTACTGTTCACTTGTACTGACAAGCAGAAGAGGTGGTTACTAGGCTGCCTGGCAATTTCTTGTACCTGGGCCAAGAGACAGGAAGGGCCTCCTGTCAAGAAAGGGATGCTATCTGTCTGGTTGCCAGCATGTCAGATCAACAGATGGCCACAGGGCTAGCCAAGCCTTTGGGGTGGGTGTTAGAACTTCAGCCCAGGTCTCTTTGCTTCCGTATTTTTTTCCAGAGCTCTGAATTTCCTTTCTATTTCCTGTCCCTAGCAGAAAGAGAAGCTCTACAATTCCTCCTGCCCAGGGCCTTGGAACAATGGTCCCTTCAGGTCAATGAGGAATAACATTGACAGGCATGGTGATTTTGGATAATAATTTCAGCACTCAGGAATCTGGCAGGAAATTGTCACAAGCTTAAATGGCAATCATCCTGGGCTACTTACATAGTGGCTCCTGAGCTAGCCTGAGGTATAGAGTGAAGCCCCATCTCCAAAAGGGGAGGGAGACAATGCTATCTTCTTCTGAGGCCATTAGAACAACTCAAGGAACTTAACAATGCAATAGACTCCCAACTGAGGCATGAATGCATGCAATAAAATTCTACTCAATAAAATTGTACTGATCTTATATCATCCTCTCCTCTGGATTCCCTAACCATCTGTATCTCTGACAAGCAGAAAGGAAAGCAAGCTGTGTCTTGTCATAGTTCTTCACTAAGAATTGGGGCCCAAGGAGGAGTGTCTGACATGCCCTTGGGGGCCCGGGGACCACCAGCCAAGACAGAGGCAGGGCACGCCGATAGGATGGTGCCAACCTTCAGTGCTCCTAACGAAGATCCAAGTGCAGATGCTCCAGAGCCCAGGGCAGTCTGGGCTAACAGGTTGAGCCCTGGTGGCAGAAGGTCACAGTTCAGGAAGGAGTCAGAAGCTCATCTCCCATGAAATGCCTGCTGTGGAGTCTAGAGAAAAGCCCAAGTGTGTCTGCCCTGGGGACAGAAAGGAGCACTAGCTGCACTGAAGGTTGTGTGTGGGTTTAGAAGTCAGGGTCTGCTGGGTTCTAAGGACACTGGGGATAGTAAGAACCTCAGTCTTAGTGTGAGAAAAGCAACGAAATGAACCAATGTCATCCCTCGAGAACTAAGAGCCATGCAAATGATAAAAATTGTCTATAGACACACACACACACACACACACACACACACACACACACACAGAGTGACATCAATGGCTGAAGTTTGAGGGTGAAAGAGAAGACATCTGTGAAGAGAATAAATAAACAAAACTGGAAGGGGGGGCTACACAAGCTGGAGGAATCACAGAAGTGAAGAGCGTTGTGGAAAACCACACCCTGCCCTGTAGATCCAGAAGGACAAACATTTAGCAAAATAAAGAAAAAAGGTGAATTCTTGTAATAAATCAAAAGGACATGAGAACAGAACAGAGAGGAAGACCTCATGCAACATGTAGGTCTGAGTTTTTAGGGATTCAGAGCCCATGATCCCACCAATGTGTTGTCTCCTTCAAGGCTTTCTCTGAGATAATGCCATGATGGATGTGACAGTGCACAGCTAGGGCAAGATATTGCACCTCCATAACAATCCCCTTACTCCCCATTTTGGAGCCTTCCATGGGTACTCACCCCGAGAGCCAGCTAGAATGGTGCCAGAGACTGTCCCTCCAGCTTTGACTATGGCCACTGAAGCTGTTATCCTTGAGACAAGGGAAGCCATCCGTACGCCTGTTCCAAACAATGCCATGGAGAGATTCCAAACACAACCCACACCTGTGAGAAGAAGTGGAGCTTTGATGAGGAGGTTGGGGTGCCAGAGCTGGATTTCTATCAACTGATGTGAAAACCCTGAGGCTCCAGGGCCGATAGAGCACCTGCTCAGAGTTGGCGGTAACAGTGGGCCTGGCCCAGCCTTGGGGTGCAACATCCTGCACCAGTTAAATAGATGGGGAATCAGGAACCATTTCAGACTGCAAGTGATTTGCTCCATGGCTGAAGGCTCCATGGCAAAGACATTAGGTGCAAGCATTAGGTCCAGCTGCTTACAAATGGCATGCTCTTACTGTGCTACTCCTAACACTTACCTTTCCTACTCTCTAGCTTACAGGGGCAGTCAGGGCTTTGGGTTCCTTCCTTCTGGGTACATACCTTTGAAGATAGGTGCCATCATGAGAACAAAAGGAGGGTCAGGGAGTGACTGTACACTGGCCTCCTCTCAACTGTTTTGTTTTTTTACAGTACTCAAACCACCTTTAATGTGCCAAAACCAAATCACGTTATAAAAATCTTGAACACATTTTAAAACATCAACTTTTGACATAGTACACAGATTTTAAAAACCCACTAAGCCAATAAATACAGCAACACCATCCAATGGCCTGACCCTGCAAAATCAATGTCTGGATACCAGTATAATTTCTTTAAGACTTTAAGTATTCATAAAAATATGCCTAGTCATGGTCTTCTATGTCTTGGTCCTCTATACCTGAATGCCAACTTGTTTTCTCTGTGCATCTCCACAACATTTTTCAACTTCAAATGGCCTGCCAATTAGACATACCATACAAAATAACCCTGTATCTAGCACTGGACAGAAATGTTTACTTTCAGGACACATGGGAATAGGCAACAAGTCAAACTGAAAATCCTATCTGACAGAGAGGAAGAAAAGAAAAATGTACTAGGAAGTCATTGAAGAAATTTCCAGAGCAAGGCAGTAACCACCTTTAGTAGCATGATCTATCCTGCTATACATCTTACAGGGCAAAACTTCTTAGGAAAAGTAGGGCTTAATCTGCCCCATATAGTTAAAAGCAGCCTCACCAAATCTTCAGCTCACTAAGTTGTCTCAGAGATGAAGAAACACGTTGCACAAGAAGAGTGAGTGCATATCTTGTGGCAAGCAGAAAGCAGCATTTTTGCTGTCTAACTCCCAGCCTGGAATATCTTCCTGTGTCTCATGCTGTCTTTCACTCCTTCTCTCAACTTTTAAGGGACTTTGCCATCAAGGCTAGGGGGCTCAGAAAGGAGCTGTCTCTCCCCTGGCCTTACCCATCGAACATTTCCTGAATATGCAGAATTGACCCCTACCACTACCCCCAACAGCCCCATGCTCCCACCCACTCCACGCTGTATCTTGGATGCCTTTCTGGAAAATCAAGTTCTTTTCAAAGTGGAAAATGTACTATGACTGAATACATACCCAGAGATGCAAGGCAGCCAATTAGTTGGTTTCCTTCTTCCCTGGTCTCTCCAGGCCTGAAAAATCCACTCTTATTTAAGACACATCCAGTGATCCAAGGCAGCCAATGAGACAGATTTTGTTTTTTCCTGTTCTCTCCAATCCTGAAAAATCCATTCTGTTTGAAGAATACAGGGTGATGGAAGGCAGCCAATGAGATAGGTTTCATTTTCCCTGCTCTCCCCAGGTCTTTCTGGTTTGGAAAGATTGTCCTATTATTATGTAACTGAGGCCTTCTAAGTGTTGAGGTTTTCTCAATGCATTTTTACATATTACTTCTTTGCTAGGGTTGTTCCCCTCAACCCATGGCAGTGATACTGTAGAAACTCCAAGTAATAAAACTGATGCTATGAAGATTTACTAATAATCTTGCTTAGAAAATATTAAGTTACACTAAGTGGAATTTAACTAAAGGAGTGCTATTTCCAATATGACTGGATGCTACATGGTATATATCCAGGTTTGTTATATACAATGAAAAAGAAAAGTCCATGCCAAAATTGATGTTTAGGGTCACTGAGGCAATTTCTGATATTGTTCACCAAGATTAACACCTGCCCCCAATTAGGCCACATTCCCATAACAACAGGCAATGCATGAAGAGGATCTGTCGACCAATAGAAGGTTTTACCAGAAGTAAAACCTTTACACTATAGACTTAGCATTCCACACATGCTGTCATCCTTAAATCTCTTTCATTGCCAACCGTAGGGTACACTTTGAACACTTTAAACTGAGACAGGAGACTGCAAGTCTGGCCCCTTGACCTGAACGGAAGTTTACTCAGCAGAGAGATTGCCAGAGTTACTTCCTAAGTACACAGTGTTGTTCTTTTCAAATGTTTGCTACCCAGGTATGCCACAGGCCATTATCATGTTTTTAATTGTGTAAATTATTTATTTTATGTGCATTGGTGTGCAGGTATCAGATCCCCTGGAACTGGAGCTACAGACAGTAGTAAGCAGCCATGTGGGTGCTGGGAATTGAACCCACGTCTTCTGGAAGAGCAGCCAGTGCTTTTAACCACCTAGCCATCTCTCCAGCCCCATTATCATTTATTACAGAAGGGAAATTAAGATTCTAGGTGTCAACCCACCAGAAAAACTTTCTGATGGAGAAAACTCATTTTTTTGCAAGGTCTAGGAGAAATACAGACTCCAGAATATCTTTTACTTTTGTCTGTAATTTTACATGTGCTAATTGCATTCTTTCCAAATCAGCTATAGGGAATTCCCCCCCCCCTCTCTGTATCTCATGAATACATTTCCTGATATACTATGCATTTTTATCTGTGGATTGTCATGGAGGTGGCTCCTCCTTAGCTGTATTTCCAACTGAGATTACTAATGTTAGGCTATACAAAGCTTCTATGAATAAAATAAATACAAAGAGATACTGCCAAACTCAGGGATATAAGTTCCCATTAAGACTTGTCTTGGAGCACAACTTAAGAAAACAGCCATATTTCCCCAGATGTCAAGATAACCGTATACTATCAACTGATATAAAACTTCAAAATAGCTTTAGATTATACCAGGTGCCTTTCTAATGGGTTTTAAGATAAACTGGTCCCAGAAATACAATTCTATTTACAAGGACATGTAGCCAGTGGTTTGATTTGTTGAGCCAAGGTAAATAGTATGAAGCAACTTAATTGCAGTGCCAGATCTAGCTGATTACTGAAGACAGGTGATTAACTCTCTGCACCAATTCTTTATTGGCCTTTCTTCAGATTCACCACTGGGAAAAAAGGAGTTTCTAACCGGCCAGGGCTACAAAAAATAACTCTCTCTCTCTCCTCTCCTCTCCTCTCCTCTCCCTCTCTCTCCCCTCCCTCCCTCTCCCTGGACAATCACTCTTTGTAAAGAAACAGTCTCCAGTACGAGAAAGTCCGGCTTTTAAGACCACTAACCACAAAACATTTAAAATGTTTATACATTTACAAGTATAGGATATAGCACACATTTCCTTGTTGCTCTTCATTTCCTTAATAGTTTAGTTTTATAAGACTACCTCTGTAGATAACAAAGAGGCTTCCCTTTTTGCACCATCGGATTATAGCCCACTAATTAGGGTGTTCACTGCGAGAAAGTGCTCCTTCCTGGTGACAATTTATCTGGATTTATTTCAACTGTTTCTTATCATTTACTTAAAAAATGGTATGTGACCTTCAGATGTGATGCCTGAAAGATTTTATGGGTCTTTATAAGCGGTGAAGAACAAGGAGAGCTAAGCAGGGTGGTGGTGGCGCACGCCTTTAATCCCAGCACTGGGGAGGCAGAGGCAGGCGCATCTCTGTGAGTTTTAGACCAGCCTGCGCTACAAGAGCTAGTTCCAGGACAGCCTCCAAAGCCACAGAGAAACTCTGTCTTGACCCCCCCCAAAAAAAAGGAACAAAGAGAGCTAGCAGAATTCAACATGAGACAAGAGTGAAATCATCAGGAAAGTGTGTGCTTTGTCCTTTTTTCCTAACAACCTGGATAGAAAAAAAGTCAGTTTTCCAACAATGTGGACTTTTCCTCCGAACCCTGCCCACAGCCCAGAAGCCCACAGGTTTATCTTGCTCACCTGCAGAATTAAACCTTTCCTGACAAGAGGTCAGGGAACTTATGGCAGACCTGGACTCAATGGCAGTTGTGACCTTACAATGTGTCCTTGAGCTGCCCTTAAGAGGATGTTCTTTGGTGTGGGAATGGGCGTCAGGGTTGTCTTCTCTTGTTATGGGAATGTGACCTAATTGTGGGTGGGTGAGGGGTGTCAATCTTGGTGAACGATATTGGAAACTGTCTCAGCAACCCTAAACATCAGTTATGGTGTAGTCTTTCTTTTTTACAGTCTATAACAGACCTGGTTATATACCACATACTTTCTAGTCATGATGCAAGCAGCACTCTTTTAGTTAAATTTCTCTTAGTGTAACTTAATATTTCCTAAGCAAGATTATTAGTTAATCTTCATAGCATCAATTTTATTACTTCAAGTTTCCACCAGTCACTGTCATGACTGGGAAAAAAAAAAGAAAAAAAACAAAAACAAAACCCTGGCAAAGAAGTAATATGTTACAATACATTGCAAACACAGTAACCACTCAGAAGGACTTAGTTACATAATAGTAGGACATTCATTCCAACTCAAAGATATGGAGAGAGCAGGGAAAAAACGAAACCTATCTCATTGGCTGCCTTCCATCACTTTGTTCTTCAGCCACAGTAGGGTTTCAGGACTGCAGAGAGCAGGGAAAATGAAACCTATTTCATTGGCTGTCTTGGATCACAGGGTGTGTTTTCCTCCAAAGTGGATTTTTTCAGGACTGGAGAGAGCAGGGGAAAACGAAACCTATTTCATTGGCTGCCTTGGATCACTGGATGTGGCTTCCTCCAAAGTGGATTTTTCAGGCCTGAAGAAAGCTGGGGAAAACGAAACCTATTTCATTGGCTGTCTTGGATCACTGGGTGTGGCTTCCTCCAAAGTGGATTTTTTCAGGACTGCAGAGAGCTGGGGAAAACGAAACCTATTTCATTGGCTGCCTTGCATCTCTAGGTATGTCATCACACAGGATTGGATTTTTCCACTCTGAAAGAAACTGAATTTTCCAGAAACACATCCAGGATCAGGGGGTGTGGGGGTCGGGTGGGGTGGGGTGGGGTGGAAAAGTGG